AAGTAAATTGGTGAGTAGTCACTAATATGCCAATGTCACTCGTATTATAAATGTGTCTATATAATACTACTAGTCTACTGCTATATATTAGTCAGTAGTATACTACGAATATATATTAGGCACTTATAAGTCTTGCCTCCTCTGTATTAAAACTGTGGGTTCTAACTTCTAAAACTAACTCATCGGAAATTTTGCTTCTTTTCTCAAATTCTTATTAAATTTCCCAATTTGAGATATGGACGAAATCTTTCGACAGTAGATGAGAGGTCCGTAATTAGGTCTTGTTGTTCACAGCTTTTTAATGAATTTAAAGTATCTTCAGTAGTAACTTTAATGGCACGAACGATCAAATGGTCAAAATGTTATGAATTTAATACTCGGTGAACGCTAATTTGGATGAATGCAATTATTGTTTGTTAGCTTACCACACATCTATTTTATCACTAAATAAATGAGGAACGATATGAGACGAGGCGTGTTATGACTCACGGCTGATTTAACAAAGATAAAAAAATATAACTCAGTACTCACTGCAGTGAGTGACAGAAAGCGCATTTTCTCGTTGACGAAAACTTGAGGTCACGGACGGACGGACGGACAGACGGACAGACAGACAGACGGACATGGCGAGCACAATAATACATTTATTCCATAAATGAGAAAATGCGCTAAAAATAAAGGAATCTGACTAAACGTATAAGTTGAAGGCTTCGAATGCCATGTTTATTTATTGAAGACAAACCGGGCGGAACTTCGGAAACTAAGAAACAAAACATTCCTAAAAAAATCCTACCCTTCCAAAAGATGGAAGAATGAACATGAAAATATACAAAATTATGCCACGCAGAATAAAAATTCACCGAATGAATATCGTCACGAAGGAAGAAAATAATTTTATTCGCTAACACAGCGTCAGGTAAACGAATTTACGTTGTAAACCTCGTCTAAGTGGCGTATTAAGTACTCTATCAGAGGTACATTTCTGAGGTTCAGAAAATATACGGCAATGATAGTTCTAAATTTCCCACCTTCAATACCCACTGAAAGTATCAAATCTACACTTTGTATTGTTTGTTAAGGATGGGACACCCAAGAGACCATGCAGCTGCCTTTCACCCCGCTTGTTTTTAGATACTTTCACGCCAAAAGAGGTTTAACGGTTTTGTTATTATGCTTGCGTTTTCTATTCATCCTTTAGTTTTATGTTTCTCAAATTCATTTTAATTGCAGATACCACAACCCACATATATTTTCTATTTTTGCATGGTAGCTTTGTTTCGTAACTTGAGTTACATCAGTGGTTCCCAAAGTGGGCGATATCGCCCCCCTAGGGACGGTGGAAAGATTTTGGGGGGCGGTAAGGAAGAAGAGGGCGTTAAGGGGGCGGTAGGGGGCGGCAGTCCGAAGTGAAAAGTTCGAACGTTTGTTTGACGATTTGTACAAAACACGTGCAGCACATCATGACACCCAGCGATGGTTTTTTTCACCAAGATCTGTTTTTTTAACCTTTCCTGGGATTACGTCTCGGACAATTTAGCGGCCGAACTCGCTTCCGGTCTGACGGCCAATTTCCAAATTCAATGCTCAAGAAATATCTCTCAAACTAATGAACTTAACTCGATGAAACTTGGTACACGTATTCATTAGGACCTAACGATAATGTTTTGCTAGTAAAAATTGTTTGACTTTTGCCATCGTTTGTTTTTGTCATAGTTATATGGCAATACGGGCCGAAATTCACAGTGATCAAGGAACTTCTTGCAAACTACTGAACAGATTCGAACGAAATTTTGAATTTACAGTCCTAACTACCGAACGGTAATGTTTAGCTCGTGAAAATTTTTTCGATTGTGCCTTCGTTCGCAATTTTTTTTCATTTCACTTTCATTCGTTATTTAAACAGCAATACGTGCTTAAATTTGCAGTAATTAAAAAATTTTTTCCAAACTACTGAACAGATTTGAACGAAACTTTGTATTTAAATACCTATCCTCAGCAATGGTGATGTTTAATTTTTTTTCGTTTTGATTTAGTTTGCGAGTTATACGGCTATACGTATAAGGCTCTAGGTTACACCGGCCGGTAGAAAAGCCGGTCGTTCCTCCTATATCTGTATAACTCGCGAACGAAAGCAAAATAGAAAAATTTTCACGAGCCAAATATCACCGTTGAAGGGTTAGGTATTTATAGACAAAGTTTCGTTGAGATCTGTTTTGTAGTTTAGAAGAAATTTCTTGATCGCCGCGAATTTAAGTGACAAATTATCCGGCGATACGAGCCGAATATAAGGAAGTGTAAAATCAAGAATGACGGTGAAACAAAAAAAAAACTCGCAAACGAAGGTAAAATCGAAAAATTTTATAGGCTAAAAAATCACCGTTGGTAGTTAGAAATGTATATTCAAAATTTCGTTCAAATCTGTTCAATAGTTTGGAAGAAATTCTTTGAACACTGCAAATTTCGGCCGGTTTCGCAATATACGCGTAACTCACAAATGAAGGTGAAATATAAAAAAATTTACGAGCTAAACATCACCGTTAGATTCTGATGAATACGTGTTCAAAGTTTCATAGAGCTGCGTTCATTAGTTTGGGAGATATTACTTGATAATTGAATTTGCCGATTAGTCGTGAGACCGGCCACGAGTCCAACCGTAAATTCGCCCGCGACGTCCTAGGTTTCTAGTGCTGAAACAGTTAAAACAGCTAAAAAAACATATTGGTTCACTAAATGAGGTTCTATTTGTGGAATACACATTTGTGTTTAACCTTAATCTTTTAAAATTGAAGCGCACTAAATTTCAAGAGAGGCGTAGGCCTATGTCTGCGGGGGGCGCTTGAAATTCACTAGGGAGCCAAAGGGGGCGCCAGCCTGAAAAAGTTTGGGAACTACTGAGTTACATCATAGCAGCTCCTTTTTTTATTATCAATATTTTTCAATGTATTCAGATCTTTAAGAACAATCCCCGACCATGCAACCCCGACCATGCATCCCCGACCATGCATCCCCGACCATGCATCCCAGACCATGCATCACCGACCGGGATTTAACTTTGCCCCTGTTATCGAGGAGTAATCATCACACGAGCGTGGGTCGCTGTGCTGCTAATCCAGCAGCTGATTTCAGCTGGCAGAGTCATTTTCATGAAAATGACTCTCATTTATGTAGAAATGACAATCATGACACTAGCGTAAAGCGCGTCATATCCTCCAACCAAGTGAACCCAAATTCTTCAACCACGAGAGCCTCACCAGAAGAGCCCGCAAAACACTCGGATTATCGTCCTCCCCAGGTCCACATAACAATGATTCGTTCACGTTGAAGCGGGTGCGAGGGTGCACTTTGCACACATGCATAGACAACAGGCGTGGTCTTCGTAATAAGGCACGCTGCACCCGACAACGATGGCCACGATACCAGACCAATGCCCGATTCCAGCGCTTGCAACGCCTGATTACAGTGTCCTCCAGAGCTTGCTGCACAGATGGACACTGCCAAGTCTCAGCATGTCATTTCACTGCAAAAATCACGAGAAAAAACACCTTACAAAGCGTTATTGACTTACAGCACTCAGGAGGTCGCCCCATAGCCAAACACTCGGACAGAACCCTTCAGTTTGCAACACAGAGGCAGACCAAGTCCTCAGCATGTTGTTGGGTAGTCCCATAGGCCAGTTTAGCAGAGAAAAGGGCACAGCCAAACTTTTTACCATGAGGCGGTAACCGGACAAAACGGAACTGAAAAACCCGACCCTTGACCCAATCCAACCTCAGTCCAGAACTCGGTCCCTATAGAACTTTCCACAAAATACGATTGAGGATCCGTAAATTTTTGTTAGAATGGACACGCTAATTTTTAACACGGTACACCACAGCCAAATACACAATTTTCCACCATTTATTAGCAACGTCGAAAATCTCAGTTATTCATTCCTACATGAGCTTTGAGACGATACATATTACTTAACCCTCTACCGCCTGACATAAATAACCAGAGCAATATTGTCACAAGCCTACTTCCCAAAAAGGATACGTCTTCGTCAGCGCAAAATAACTAGCACTGATGGTTGCCGCCACGTTCAATTTTGAAACGTTATCTGTTGCGTACAAACGTCCTCAGGTTGCTACACTCAATAGTTTGCGTATAATTTAATTTGAAGGTTATGTTCCCGGAGAGTGGCATACGGTGGTAGAGGGGTTGAAAGTTATGTTCCCGGAGAGTGACATACGGCGGTAGAGGGTTAAATTGAAAGTTATGTTCCCGGAGAGTGACATCCGGCGGTAGAGGGTTAAGTTGAAAGTTATGTTCTCGGGGCCATACTTTCAAAACTAGCTAAGTGAACGTAAGTACTTACGCTCTATTTTCTTGTCTTTGATTGGTGGATGTTGCTTGAAAGGCCGTCAATGATTGGCTGATGAACTTACGATCTCCTAACTTTTTTTGAAAGTATAGGCCCTGGAGAGTGACCTACGGCGGTAGAAGGTATAGCTTCAGCCAGCACAGCAGCAAGCGGTCCTAAGTTCTAACCATATTAGTTTTTGCTATGTCGTTGCCTTCTTGTTTGTGAGACCCCCGATCAGACAGCAAAATTTCTGGTCTAAAATCAGTGCATTAAAAAATGCTCATTTGTTGAGGTGGGGAGTGGAGCAAAGATGGCTGCTATCGGGACACGGAATGACTCGGCATATTATTTCATTAGAGCTAAGTGCTCTTAAGTTCAGTTCAGGCGTCCGGTACGTGATAGCAGTAACTGAACTTCTCTTTTACCAGTCCCATTCTATTATGATAATAAGGAAATCCTGACACGACCCAACTTCTGCAGTCCAAAGCACCTGCTGCTCGACCGCTCCTGAATATCAAGCGCCCGAGGATTCTTCCTTAATAAAAATTACAGCCGACTTAGGGTAGGTCGACGTTTGGCCAGCCTTCATCCACCCAAAAGCCGCAGCTAATTTTCAACCGGGACACGAGGAGCGGAGGCTTTCTTGGCCACATCCCCGATGACCACCGCATCTTTGACCACTGCTGCAGGCCAGAAGTCTTCCTTGACCACTGCTGCAGACCAGAAAACATCCTTGACCACTGCTGCAGACCAAAAGTCTTCCTTGACCACTGCCGCAGATCAGAAGTCTTCCTTGACCACTGCTGCAGACCAAAAGTCTTCCTTGACCACTGCTGCAGACCTGAAGTCTTCCTTGACCACTGCTGCAGATCAGAAGTCTTCCTTTACCACTGCTGCAGACAAAAAGTCTTCCTTGACCTCTGCCGCAGATCAGAAGTCTTCCTTGACCACTGCTGCAGACCAGAAGTCTTCCTTGACCACTGCTGCAGACCTGAAGTCTTCCTTGACCACTGCTGCAGACCAGAAGTCTTCCTTGACCACTGCTGCACATCAGAAGTCTTCCTTGACTACTGCTGCAGACCAGAAGTCTTCCTTGACCACTGCTGCAGACCAGAAGACTTCCTTGACCACTGCTGCAGACCAGAAGACTTCCTTGACCACTGCTGCAGATCAGAAGTCTTCCTTGACCACTACTGCAGACAATAAGTCTTCCTTGACCACTGCTGCAGAACAGAAGTCTTCCTTCACCACTGCTGCAGACCAGAAGTCTTTCTTGACCACTGCTGCAGACCGGAAGCCTTTCTTGACCACTACTGCAGACCAGAAGTCTTCCTTGACCACTGCCGCAGACCAGAAGTCTTCCTTGACCACTGCCGCAGACCAGAAGTCTTCCTTGACCACTGCTGCAGACAATAAGTCTTCCTTCACCACTGCTGCAGACCAGAAGTCTTTCTTGACCACTGCTGCAGAACAGAAGTCTTCCTTCACCACTGCTGCAGACCAGAAGTCTTCCTTGACCACTGCTGCAGATCAGAAGTCTTCCTAACCTAACCAAATCAGGGCTAGGCTAAATCCAAGGCCTATTTCAATTCAATTAGCTGGACGTTAATGACTATTTGTCTCACGCCTCTAGACTAGGAACATGCCTCGAGGCAAGACAATATTGCCGTCATGTTTTAGTGTAAGAACATGTCTCATAACCAGCCGGTTAACGATCCAATACGCGTCTTGTTCTTAGAATACCGTGTCTCAATACAAGTCCATTAATGATATTTTATTGTGGCACATGTTGCGAGTTTTATTTTTTAATAAAATTATAACTTTCCCTCTACCTTGACAATCCTCCTGATCCTTATTATCTCCTGGCTGATCCTCAAAACTGTCAGGATTCACGAGATCCTGGCACCAAGATCCTTTTTATGTACACTGCCGAAGGTAGTATTTAAGCTATTATTCTATAGTTTGATATTTGATGTCGAAGACCATCATGTTATCAATTTACCCTGCAATAAATTCCCAGCTTCAGTCTCTTTTCACATCCGATCTTGCATACCGTGTGGGTAGTGCCTGGCACTTACCCTATAAAATAATTGGGGTCCTTGGCCTTCTAGTAGCGTGTCTAATGACAAGACTATTCAAATTTTATTTATAGTATATTCGACTTCAATTTTCCTTGGAGTTTAAACATGTCACAATTTAAATAAATTAATGATCCCAATCTTGTCTTCGTGTTTTTTAGTAATAACAGATCAAAATTAAGTCCTTTAGATGTCATATTGCCATATCTTAGTCATTATGTCTTTAAAGTAAGAAAATGCTTTCAGGCCTGTCCTTCGTCCATCATAGATGGATGGACGGACCAGGCTCATGGACGGCATAGATGGATGGACGTCCATCATAGATGGATGGACGGACCGGCCATTGATGGACGGACCATCAATGGCCGGACCAGACGCACGTGTGTCCATCGCGGCCAAACTTGCCACCAAGCCACCAACTTGCGGACAGTCCCTCCTGGCGTCGTGCTGTGTAAGCCGGAACTTCGTTCCCGGTAAATTGTCCGTAAATTGCCAGCAAATATTTTGCTCGCAACAGTAAACAGGATGAGGAAATTGACGGTGGACTTCGTCCCAAACATGAAGCTTGAAGCTGAGGGAGTTCACTCTGCATCGATCAGGATCTAAGCTTCTGTGTCTGAAATTAGAAAAAAAATAAATCTCCAAAGAAAATTTATTATTGCGCCACAAATTATAGAGATATCAGAGGAAGGTTTTAAATATTTAAATATTTATATGTGAAATTGATATGTATGGTGAAGCTTGAGAAGAATCACAGTTTCAATTTATCGTTGTCTCGTATCCTAACGAACTCGATTGTTAGAGAAAAAAGAAAATTTAAGAGTTGACTTAGAATAGTTGTGAGAAAATTTGTTGATATTCAACATAGACAAATGCTGAGGTATATATTCATATATCATCAAAACCCACATGTCGTATAAACACAATATAAACTAGAATATGGCACATAAAATGCCAAACTTGAAAATGAAAACAAAGATAAAAATACTAAATACCAAATTTTAGATATACAGTCTGTTAATTTTAAACCTGCGCAGTGGCTTTGATATTTCAATTTCTGTGGGTTTAACAGTTTCCAAATTATTTGAGTGACCCATAAATACCATAAATGAGGCCGGGTCTACACGAAACTCATTAAATATATTATATTATTAATGTTAGATTTGAGCTGCAGCAGTAACAACTTTAGCAATGTGGGCTTAGTTGTTTTTTAGTAAGTTAAACAACCGATAACTGACTGTGATGTAATTAGTCGTTTTTTTAGTAAGTTAATTGAGCTTATAACTGACTTTGATGTATTTTGTCGTTTCTGATTTTGTTAATTAACCGAACAAGAGAGAGGCAGCCTCATAAAGGCTTGCAAGCTCAAATGAGTGGGAATAAAATTGTAAGTGTTTTTCTGTATTTTTATGCTTGAATGAATGACGCTTGAATTATGAAATTCAAGCATGTTGAATCTGTCGCTGAATTTTGAGTTGGGGGTTAATAAGTAAATTTCAAAACATAAGTTGAACATTCCGTTCAGCTGAAATATTTTATGTTTTTACTGAAAAAATAAATGTGGTGCAGGCTTTGAGTAAACGAGATGTTAAATAAGTATGGAGATGTTTATATACTTGTCGAATTACCTTATTAGACGAAGACTAAACATTAAACCTGCAGTCTTCATAGACAAATTGAAAAGTCTTTAAAGGTCAACCCATCGAGGGCAAAATAAAGAATTTTATGTAATGAATGTTTACTTTATCATTTAATATTAACGGAGATGCATTGGGATTCCAAAAAGTTGAAAGGTTATATAAGTTCATGATCATATATGCAATTCTGATGCAGATGTTGTTTAAATACTGGCTGCAAACTCCGTGGACTTATCACGATTTTTTTCAGAGTGATTGCGGCAAATGTCGCGGACTTCAAGAAGAAAATAACGAACTGGAAAGACGGAGGCAAAAGCCGTAGACTTAAAATGAAAAATGATGTCGGAAGATGAATGTCGTGAACTCCTAATGGTCTGGAGCTCAATGCATGAACTCTGATCTTCATGGCAGAAAATCAGAGGCTATTTTAAGTCTGATTTTAAATCAGAGGCTATTTTAAGTCGATGGAAACGTAGCGGTTGAATTTTTGTTGAAATGCAGTCGTGAATTTTTTAATTGATGCGGGCTAGACATTCAATTCTGTAGGTGAATTGAACGAAGCGTTTGCAATTTTTAACAAATAAATAAATTTCTTGATTGCAAACAAATTAAGTTGAAGGTTTCTCATGGCAAGAAATTAAGAAAGGCCTAACTAATTAACAGAATCAAGATGTTTCACAATCCTGGAGTGGAAATTTCAAATAAATGAAGTTCTTTGCGCAGACTGAAAATTATACTTTTTATGTCTAAATAATGAACATTAAATTATAAGTCGACTGTTTTGAATTTGATTTGGTTTTGAGTTAGAACTCAACAATGAGCTGGATTTGAAAAGCCCAATTTGAGAGTCAATATTGACTTTTCTATCCAAATCAGAAGCAATAAGCTCGAGCTGTTGTAAAATTACCTTATTTTCGCTATCCTTTTCAAAATACTCGACCTGTATGTCTGAAGCCCCGTATGTCTGAAGCCCCGTATGTCTGAAGCCCACTGTAGACTGCAGTCACTGAACTCTTGTGTATTAAACGTTTAACTCTAAAACCGAAGTTTTCGGGAAAAGAACTTGTATCTTAACCTTTCATGGCCTAAAGTATTTTATGTGAAAATTTTATTCCATGACCAATTATTAAACTGCAGTATCATGAGACATGAAACTGTACATGAAATAGTGACGTGGTTATAGTTTCATGTTATTTCGTATACATTCATGTCTAATAGACATTTTAGAAATTCACATCTAATAGACATTTTAAGTATTCATAGAAAAATTCAGAACAAAAACGACGCTTATAATTTTTAATTATTTTGCTAGACGGGACTCTAATCATTTTTTTTATTCGCCTGTTATAAGTAATTTCCCACGTAGAGAATGCCAACGTTAATAAGTGAACTTCAAAACATAAGTTGAATATTCCATTCAGCTGAAATATTTTATGTTTTACTGAAAAAATAAATGTGGTTGGCTTTGATTGTACGAGATGTTAAATGACAGCCCAGGCAGCTGCCTTGAGCTGACAGACGCTGACAGCAGCTGCCTTCAGCGGACAGACGCTGACAGCAGCTGAGCCCTGAGCTGACAGACGCTGACAGCAGCTGCCCGGAGCTGACAGACGCTAACGGCGGCTGCTGGAATAATTTTATTCAAAGAAGCCCTGGTCATTGTAATGTTGGGGGATCTTGCGAGCCGAGTTTTAAATCAATTTACCCTTATGAAATATTCGTATCCATGAGAGATAAAAAATGACTAAAGAAAAAGAATGTCGATTAGCTCAAATTTAGATCATATGAAGTAGGTTTTAACAGATAAGTTCCTTACAAAGAAAGAAATAATCTATATGAGGTCCAATACTAACATTGAATTAGTTATTAAATTAATTATTTCTTTATTAATTATTCAGTAAAACAATAGCATAGAATATTAACACATATAGGACCGCAACATGAATGTAGAACTTTATCTGAACCCTGCCTCGTTTGATGTTTAAATACGCGCTGATGTTTAAATAATTACATTTAAAATATTTTTATTCAAGAATGACGCATATATGGCAAACAAAAGATTATTATTTAACGCCTATTAAGAATTTTAAATTGAATTTAATTTCAATTTAACAGTGCACTTGAGTGACGGTATAGGAAATGGCTCCCAGTGGCCTCAGTACAGAGAATTAAATAGTCTATTTGAAGTCCAAAAGTAATATTGAACTCGAATATCCCCAATTCTATAATCTTACTGCAATATACCAGCAACACCGAACATTAAAACTTACATAGTAGGACATTAAAAATATAGTATAACCATAGCTTTGTAGGTCAGCTCTATTTTCTTGTCTATGATTGGTGGATTTTGCTTGAAAGGCCGTCAATGATTGGCTGATGAACTTACGATCTCTTAACTTTTTTTGAAAGTAAACACCCAGTATCCCAGGGCCTATACTTTCAAAAAAGTAGGGACTTACGTTCACTTAGCGAGTTTTGAAAGTATGGCCCCAGAGCAGAGTAACGTCGCACGCTGAAGCGAGATCAGCGTCAAGCCGCTCTCTAAATTCCAGACTTGATACGACGGTTTCCTTTCATTTTCGCTTCAAAGAAATCCTGAATGTTCTTGCGAAATATTCTAATTGGATCCTACATCTCTGTAGGTGCCGACTTTCATCGCACTAAACATTGCAAACAAACAGGACGTTCTTACGGAGGCAAAAATTCGCATGTCGCTGGACGTTCTTACGGAATCTTGGAATGTTTTCCTGATTTTTTTTAATACAATTTTTGCTTTCTTGAAGATTTGTGGTGCCAGCAGCACCTCCAAGCATGACTGTTATCTTCATTTT